CTTTTGATCAAGATGTAATATGTAATTTATTTTGTCTTGTATTCGAGCTGTAAAACCATAATTAAGATGTATGACATTTGATTAGATCTATGCACAGCTCTTATGGACTCTTAGATTTAAATTTATTGCTTCCGCACAGGTAAGCCCCATATGTATACTCTAATTGTGTGAAAGTTTGTAAGTTGGCCTTTGGTAATCTTGGATTACTGGCCACCATGGCACCACTCTACTAGGGGTGGAATGGGGTCGTGACAAAAAAACTCTGTTTTTGTGGACTGAAATTGGTGGTTTTAGGCCATTTAAGGTTAGGAGGTGGCTCACCCTTCTTTATTCCTTGTTTGTAAGGCCTTTCTACCTTTGTTTCCCACTTTCAAACTATCGTTTTCCAAGCTTTTAAACACTAATTTTCAGAGCTTTTTCAGTGGCCAAAATCATGTTTTGAAGTCCAAATTTGGAGGGGTTAGCCTCCCCTCCTTGTGTCTTTTTTACTAGCCTAGTTAGCTCTATGTGTTAGCTTAATTTTCTAACCTTTTGTAGCTTAATTTCAGCATGTTTTAACCTCTGTTTTGGACTATTTTAACTCTATTTTGGATTGGTTAAGTCATTTGAGTCTTGTTTTGCATACTTGTAGTGTAAGTGTCCTCACAAGTTTGGTGTTTTAGGCCTTTAGACACCACTTATTTGAGTTGATTGCATTGTTTTAGTGTTTTTCTCACTTAATTTTAGCAAGCATAATCTCTGCAACCTCCATCATTTCTTCACTCTTTGTTTGTTTTGAGGGTTGTTTCAACCTTGGGATTGTTTAAGCTTGAGATTGAGGTCCATGATTAATGGTTTAATCCTCTTTTGGGGGTTCACACCTCTCTCTTGCCTTAAATTACCCCTTGTTTGACACTTCCTTCTCTTTTAGAGGACTCAACTCACCAATGGACTTAATTGGTTAAAGAATGGAAAGGTAATTAAAAGGAGTAACTAAAAGTTGAAACTAAAATTGTGCAAAGATAAGAATTTGATTGTCTTGGTGTGTTCAATCGGACGTTAATTGAACACATGGAACTTGGACCATTTCATACTTGCTAGTGATGAAATGATCCAAATGTCCAAGGTCAACCACTTCCCTTGATCTTTCATGAAAGGGAGGAGGTTTGTGTCTTTTCTTCTTGCATTTATTGAACTTGCACTCTTGGGTTCACAAGCCATCATGCAATGAAATTGCTTGGATTGGTGGTTTGTGGCTTAGGTTCACCACTCCTTGGATTTGTTCATGAAAAGGAGGGGTGAGTTGTGCAGACAATCCTTGAAAATACCCTGTGTGTGCTCTGTTTGTCCTCTATTCCAGCAAGATGAACCTGTGCATCAGTGGCCGGCAGGCCACTTTCCATGGCCAGCAGGTGGCTGTAGACACCCCATTTTTGACCGTCCTTAAGACTTAGGCGCTACTGATTGCTTACTTGGTGATGAAAGATGTGCAGTGCACAGGTTCGATTTCTTCAGCAAGGGGTGCATCAAATCCCAACCTCACACCCCATTTTTGGGCCAAAACTATTTTGATTAAAATGATTTTTAGACCTTAAAACTGTCACGACCCAAACCGGCCCTATGGGTTTAGCACCGTAACCGGCCAGCAATCCAAGATTACCGAAGGCCTACTTAACAGTAATACAGTAAAACAGAGCACAGGGCCTGGCGGAAGCCAATACAATAAATAAATAATGTCCAATGAGCTGTGACAGTCTGTATGCAAAAAGATTTTTTATACATATATACGTAAACAGTACAGAACCGTATGTACAATATTTACATCATTCAGAATAGGGACTCAATCCCTTATATAGTAGTACAGTACAGTGCTATCAGTATATACAGTTCACAAAACAGATATAGAGACAAAAGGGGGAAAATAAAAGACCCCTAAGCCATAGCATGACAGGCTCGGAACCTTGCAGTGAGGCACAGTGGTTGGCTTAACAAAACTGGAGTTTACCCCAACGCTTCTAGCATTGGTCCGGTGCCTGAACATCTACATATATATATAAGCAGTGAGCTAAAGCCCAATGAATAACATAAAGCGTAAAGAGGTTTAAAATGAATGTCCTTACAGTAGTGAAAACGGTTCATTAATTCAGTATATCAGTCATTCAGTCATATGTGGTACATTCATTAGCATAACAGTACAGTAAGCAGTAGGTCTTAAAGACCGAACTATAGCGATCCCGGGTTTACCCTTGTTGTACAGTGATCCGGACATGTGTCCGTGGATGTTGGTAGTCGCTTATTATCTTGGTTGCATCCTTTTTACTTTGTATATTGAGTTATAGGATGTGTTGGGCAGGTTTGCTACAGGTTGGTTGTGTTTGGGAGCCTAGTGCTGCTGCCCAGATTTTTGGTTCTTCGCTCGAGCGAGGAGTTGGTCGCTCGAGCGAGCGTTGAGTTCGTGTCTGGTGGATCGAGCCAGAGTGGATTCGCTCGAGCGAACGATTGCGTCTGGCTCTGGACCTGAGAGCTGTGCTTCTTGGCTCGAGCGAGCTTTTCTTGGCTCGAGCGGTCTGGTTTGTTCTTCGCTCGAGCGAGGTGTTGGTCGCTCGAGCGTGCTTCTGGTTGCAGACCTGAAGGTTTGAGTTGTTGGCTCGAGCGAGCATTCTTTCTCTTGAGCGCACCTCTGAGTTTTTGGCTCGAGCGATAGTTTTCTGTGTCTGGTCGCTCGAGCGAGCGTGTTTTATATCAGCGGGCAGCAACGTTTTGAACATCACTTTTTCACTCCCTTCTTTTTTATCAAACCCTAGATCCGAGACTCTCTCTCTCTACACTTATATTCTCTCTAAGAATTGATCTCCCTAGAGTGTGAATCTAGCCTAGGGCCTTTGTTAAAAAGATAGAGGGCGTTGAGGGCTTTAATTTAATCTGAAAAAGTTTGGATTTGGAGCACGTTGGTCTTCGAGTCTTCATCTCCTTTTTGGCTCAAACTTCGAGGTAGGGATATCCTACTCCTCTCTATGGATTTTGTCTTTAAATTTTAGCATTTTGAGATGTTGGGGTTGGTTTGGTAATTTGGTGAAAGTTTGGGGCTTTTGTGTTATTTTACCAAGGTTGGGGTTTTATGCATAATAAACCTAAAAGCATGTTTGGCATAGAGAAATGAAATATGTTAAATCATTGATGAAAATGGGACCTAAGGGTTGAAATGTCAATTACGGTTAATGGCCTAATTACATTGTTTGCTTAATTGGGATAATTAATTGTGAGAAATGAGGAAATGAAATGTTGATTGAATATCCATTGTGCATTTATTTTCTGTTTAGAAATAACTGCTTTGGGCTATCGGTGGAGGATAGTCGTGATTGTTGTAGACAATGCATGATGATTAGGCAAACGGAAACTAATCAATGGAATGTGTCATGAAAATTGACGGTTGTTAGAATACATTAACTGTATGTATTGAGTGATTGTATATAGAACTAATGTGTTTGTATACGTTATGTGTAGAGGAGGAGATGGGGGATGTACTCCGCGGTTTAGGGGAAGATAGGGGATGTACCTCTAAACCGGATAGTGTTGGGAGAAGATAGGGGATGAACTCCGTAGATACAGCTCATATGCTTGTCTAGAGAAGCGGGAATAGAGCTTATATGCTTATCTGTGGATAATGTTGTTATACATATCTGTTGTAGAATGTGGATATAGCTTATATGCTTATCTGTGGATAATGTTGTTATACATATCTGTTGTAGAATGTGGATATAGCTTATATGCTTATCTGTGGACAATGTTGTTATACATATCTGTTGAGAATGTGGGTAGTGCTCCTATGCCTATCTGTTGAAAAAGGGGAAAATGAAAAGTAACTTGGACTCATAAGTCGTATGACATAAATATGTGATTTATGTAAATGTATCAGTGTTGGTCATCTATCAATTGCTAATGTTTTAGTCATTGTTCATGGTTGGTTTAGTATATTTCTACTGGGCTGTGGCTCACCCTATATGGGAACATCATTTTCAGGTACAGGTAGCATGCCACCTCCAAGGACATAGCTTGGGAGGCTTGAGGCGGACATACTGTTGTCGTTTTACTTTTGATGTATTACATGTAAATTCAAGCCAAGGGCTTAACTTGTATGAGTTAGTACTCTTTTGTTGTAACCAAGTGTTAACTTGGAAAGCTGTAAGCCCATAGGGCACTTGCTTTTGTTGTTAACATGTAATACCTTTTGTAATGAAACTCTGATATATATAGAAGAATGTGGAACTTTTGCATATCAATGTATGTCTTATTTGATGGGTTTTATGTTATTATTTTGAGGGCGTTACAGAACAGTAAATGATGGCCATCAATCAGTAATGGTTCCAACTTGGGAACCGACAGAGATCTCTGTAACAGTAACAGTTAGTAACAATAGTTGCTAAGGATGCCACAATACAGTTCAGAATATAGGACATACATTCATTCAATTAACAGTAGCAGTTCAGAAAGCAGTACAGTTCATTTGTTCAGAAGATGATCATTTTGAACATATCTTTACACAGTTGTTACTCACAGAGTTCTGGGCTACAGTAAAGCTAGAGCGCGTCCCCAGTCGCCAACCCTACACAGTTACAGATTGAACACACACTAAGCTACACAGTTGGGAAAGATAATAACTTAATCCCTAATTTGCCTCGGTGTGTTCTACATCTATATCCTCCATTAAGATGCCTTAAACTAGGCCTAAGAATACCTAGGATGAAATGAGAAAACCTTCAGAAGATTGTGTTAAGACTATAGCTCTAGAAAAATCACCTTGTGGTGGCCAACACATTCCAACCTCTTGGTCATTCCTGATTATGCATCCTATTCCAGTGGCCCTGTTTTCTAAATACCACTTAGCAATCCGGAATTATGCATCCTCTTTTAACAACCATGTTTCTTCCAAGACAAGTTGTATGGTCCAAAGATGGTTCATACCCAATCAATTGAACCTGAAGAAATTACTTCTCTAACGAAAAACTTTCCAGAAACCTAGATCAAGAAACCACAAGGTTTGTGCAGATGTGGCTAAGACCTGGCTCCCCATTAACATCACCTTCTTTGCTCCAATTTTCTCTCACTCTATACGCTTCATTCCACATCCCTGCCCCGGCATAAACATTAGAAAGTGCAATATGAGTCGTCAAAATTTGTTTCTTTGTCTCTAACATCTTCTTAGCTGCCCTCCTTCCCATTTCCACATTCCCATGCAATTGACATGCCCCAAGCATTGCGGCCCAAATGGTACCTCTAGAACTCATTTCTCCAACATCAATTTCTTCCAGCAAATTCCATGCTTCCTCAAGCCTTCCAGCGCGTCCCAACATATCAACCAAACATGTGTAATGATCTTCCCTTGGAATTAATCTATACTTCTCCTTCATCAGTTTAAAGTATTGTAACCCCTCAACCACCAAACCACAATGGCTGCAAACAGTTAAGACAGACACAAATGTCACCTCATTTGGTTCCACGCCCATTTCCATCATCTGCTGGAAATAATCAAGGGCTCGAAAACCAAACCCATGAACTGCATACCCCATAATGATAGATGTCCATGCAACTACATTTCTCTCCACCATCAAATCAAAAACAGTTTGTGCATAGGACAAATAGCCGGCTTTAGAATACATATCCACCAAAGCCGTTCCAACAACCACATTATTGGTATCAGCTCTAGTTAATGTCCTCATGAGCTTTGCATGGATTTGTTTTCCCATTTCTAAGTTTGTTAAATAGCTACATGCTTCAAGACCCGCTACAAAAGTGAAGCAGTTCCCTTCTACTCTAGATCCATCCCCGTTAGAATACATTTTAGCTAGTAAATCTAAACTTTCTCGTGGCATATCGTTCTGTACATACCCAGATAACATGCTCGTCCATGAAATGACATTTTTCTCTGACATTTCTTCCCACAGTGTCCTAGCATCTTCAACTAAACCATTATACATATAACCTGATATCATCGAATTCCAAAGAGCCACAAGTTGGGCAGGCAGCCAAGCATCAAAAACTTTTCGAGCTTCACCAATGCTACCGCACTTGCTGTACATATTGATCAAAGCGCTTCCAATAATTGCATCGCCATCATCCAATGAATAATTATTACAATGACAGCTAGAGAAAGCAATAAGAAAGCCATGGACTTGTCTTCCGACTTTGAGCAAAAAGAGCTCTGTGCATACAGTCAAAAGAGGCACAAACATAGTGCTATCCACTTTAAAAAATTCTGCAATGTTATTCTCAGAAGCAATATAATCAACTGCATCATCTGGGACAAGATTTCCTCACAAATTGCAGAGTCAGATTAATTAAAATCTCAGAATCCTTTACACAACCAAAACCTAAGAACAATTACAAAATCCTCATCTACTTAAAAAAATATATATAAAAAAGAAAAAGAAAAAAGCACACAGATTGTGGGTTGGGGAACACAGGGTTTCACAGGTTGCCAAGAATAAGATGGCAAACCCATCAAAACCCAGGTGTTGAAATTGTTTAGAAAGTATAAGAACACTATTTATGGGTAGTCAAATTTGCCATATAAATATGTAAGACAGCTAACAGTCAAAACTAAAAAAGAGGAAAAATCTATAAGATTATGGAGGACTAGAGAAATTATGATCATCCAAAATAAGACATGTGTTGGTGGAGAAAGAGAGAAGAAAAAGGGGGAGTGATTTTCCTTCGAATTTTCCGAGGAAAATGGAGTGAGAAGGAAAATTTAGAAGGGGATGTGTTGAGGAGAGAAACCTGGGAACCAATTTTGGCGGGTATTTGAAACGGTTTGCCACGTTGGAATACCGTTGTGGGACCATAGGTTGAATCTCTTCATTCACTCATCTAACCTTTTTTATTTTTTATTCGAAAATGATCCGTAGCTCGAATGTGTAGAGCTCGAATGGTTCGAATGGTACGAAAAATATTATCTTACCGGTAAGAGAATAAAAAAAACCTTTAAAACGACGTCGTTTTGGGATTTCAAGCCATTCGAGCCTTTGATATTTGTTTTTTATTTTTTTAAAATTTTAATTTATTCTTGAAGGCCCATATCCCAACCCAAACCTGTTACAGCTAAAACCTAACTCCATCATGGATAATCCGGAGTGTCGGTGACTGGGGGAATTGAGACACATTCCGTCACTCGGAGTACGAAATGTACCTCGTTTCCCGTGCCCGGGCTAACTCCTATTCCGGACACGATGCAATATGCATGATATGCATGAAATGCAGCTAAGATACAATCCTAACATACATAACGCCATGGAAGTGAGATGCCTCGAAATGCGTGCATATGGGCACGCAAACCGAGAAAATGGCAGAATGCTACGAAAATGAGGTGCCTCGAAGTACGTGCACGCGGGCACGCAAACCGAGGCAATAATGTGTGTCTCGAAATACGCGCACGCGGGCACGCAAACCGAGGCGATGATATGTGTCTCGAAATACGTGCACGCGAGCACGTAAACCGAGGCAATGATATGTGTCTCGAAATACGCGCACGCGGGCACGCAAACCGAGGCGATGATAAAATGCAATGAAACGGAACGAAAATGACAAATGGGCTTATACCAACATGAGTGAGCCTCAGCCACACTCACATCGGATGCCGGCGGATAAAAATGAAGTGCCTCGAAATGCGTGCACACGGGCACGCAAACCGAGGCAATGGCAAAATGCGATGTAATGCCATGGAAATGACAAATGGGCTTATACCAACATGAGTGAGCCTCAGCCACACTCACATCGGATGCCAGCGGATAAAAATGAAGTGCCTCGAAATGCGTGCACACGGGCACGCAAACCGAGGCAATGATAAAATGTGATGTAAGGACATGGAAATGACAAATGGGCTTATACCAACATGAGTGAGCCTCAGCCACACTCACATCGGATGCCAGCGGATAAAAATGAAGTGCCTCGAAATGCGTGCACACGGGCACGCAAACCGAGGCAGCGATAAAATGTGATGAAATGATATGGAAATGACAAGTGGGCTTATACCAACATGAGTGAGCCTCAGCCACACTCACATCGGATGCCGGCGGATAAAAATGAAGTGCCTCGAAATGCGTGCACACGGGCACGCAAACCGAAGCGATGCTAAAATGACATGGAAAATGGCAAAAAAGATATGCAAGCATACTAACAGAATTTCAGCAACAAAATATGGGGAAAAACAGTCCCGAAATGTAGCGAAATGATACCAAATGCAGTGTTTTGGAAGAAAACTAGGGTTTAGAATATGTATACTCCAATTGCATTTATTGGGAGAAATTCTTAAGTTTTGCGTAATGATCAAGTTGATTCTTTTATGAGTTTGTTGTGATCTTGTAATTGGGAAATGTCTTTAGGCACCCGAAATGGCCTATAGCTATGCCAAACATGCACAACATGGACATGCAATGCAAAGACAGAAGCTAGACAGTCCCAAAATAAGCACTTTTCCAGTTATAAACATGGCCAAACAGCAAATATAGGTATGGCAAAAATAGCATACAAGGATAGGGGCCAAGATAGGGGTAATGAAGCAAGTGGTATAAGCTAAACCCAAACTGAAAAATTTCCTTCTACAACAATGAAGATAGACCAAAAATATGAACATTTACAGTATATGGCAGCCTCAAAATCAGTATACAAATATGCTAAAAATGGGATGCAAAGCAAGGCCCAAAAGGTGCTATAACATGAAGTATATAAAATAATCACCAAACAGAAAAAAAGTGTGAATGAAACATGAAGTATAGGCCAAAATAAGGCCACTTTCAGTTCGGACCAAGGTCCAAAAACAGAAACCAAGAGGGCTATCAACTTATGCAAAAAAAAGGGCCAAATAGGGGATTGAACTACAAGTGATACATGGAGACACCAAACAATGTTGAGCCCTAAATCAGTTTACCACATGCTCGAAAATAAATTGCTCATGGGTCAAAAATAGCATGCAAAACTATGACATACAAGATGGTCAATGAAGCAAGTGTATTATGGAGGGCTCAAACAGGGTTGAGCCCTTAATGAGAAGTGAAGATGAGCTCAAAAAATGGCCCTTTTCAGTTAGGTCCGGAGCTTGAAACCAAAGAGAAGTGGGGCTTAGAAATAGATCAAGAAAAAGGTTCAAAAGGGTAAAAGTGTTACTTACCCTTGAAGATTCAAACTTTTGTTGCTTCTTGGATGGATTTGCAGCTTCTTTAGCCTTCAAGAATCCTTCCTTGTTGCTGGAAATGAGATGGTGGTGGTAGAGCTTGGTGGTGTAGAAGGAATGAAGGTTATGGACTTAGGGTTTTTTTGAAGAATTGAAGAAGAAAAAGATGGAGATGGCTATGGAGCTTTGAAGGAAAGTTTTTCTAACCATTGTAGAGGAGGCCATCAGCTGGTTAAAAGGGCCAAAAGGGGGTGTAAAAGGTGAGGGAAATGGAGAGGAAAACTCCCCCACAAAATATCCCCCGGATACAGAAAATATCTGGGGGATATTGCCCAACAGCTGGAAAGGGTACAGTGAGGAGAATACGGCCGGCCTCATACTTTTACAACTTTGAACACATGAACACTATTACAACACATCTGAAAATATGATTTTAAATCTCTAATAACATGTATTTGAAAAAGGAAAATAAAAGAGAGAGTTGTGTTGTGGCTTACTTGGCTGCCTACAATTTCTTCTCTTTTTCCTTTCCTCTACCACCAAAGCTCTCTTCCTCTTTTTTCCTCTTAGCTGAACGAAGTAATAGGAGATGGTTAAGCGGTCCCGAACCGAGGCACACGGCCAACGATCCCGAAAAACCGGAAACCGGACTCCGAAATGGACAAAATGGCCTACGGCCACCAAATGTAGCCTATGGACATTGAGAGATGGTCTACGGGACCTCTCCCTTCCCTCAGGAAAAGAAACAAAGAAACCCGAGCCTGGTTCGCAAACCGAGGCAAAGCACAGAAGAGGGTTCGGAAGTCCGGAGGCAGGGCTCACGGCCGCGACTCTGAAACTTCTGAACGAGCACATTATGCAACATCACCAAGCGCTCAATCGGTGACGTCTGAGTCTTAAGGTCGGTCAAAAATGGGGTGTCTACAGTTAGTTTGGTAAATAAGGCCAATTTAAGCAATTGATCAATATTTAATCTAATTTAATCATACCTAATCAGTTTTCAGATGAATAAGCTATAAAATCACATAAATTCTCATGATCCTAAATCATCAATCAATTTCCGGTTCGGCCGCCGATAAGGCCTTCAATTTGAAATTTAAACATAAAAACACGAACAGATAATCAAGCAACCAAACAGATAGAATTACAGTTAAACAGATATACTCAGTCAATTCAGTTCCAATGTCAGTCAGTTAGTTCAGTAGTTTATTCAGTTCACTTATTAGTCATAATCAGTTTCAGTTTAACGGTAATCAGTGGTTATTCGGTAAACAGTAACGAGGGTTGTTACCGTCTCCCCTCCTTAAAAAGAGTTTAGTCCCCTAAACTCGAGTTACCTTCATTCTGGAAGAAAACAGGGTTCAGTGGAAACAGTTCAGGATATCTTTTAGTCATGTCATCTTCCATTTCCCAAGTGGCATACACGCCACCATGGTTTTGCCAGTCGACTTTCACTAGCGGGATCTCTTTGTTTCTCAACTTCTTGATCCGTCTGTTGACAATCTGTATAGGCCGTTTCTCGTAAGTGTAGTCATCACTCAGCACTACACGAGTCAGCTCTATCACATGGAAAGGATCCCGGAGGTAGTCCCTCAACATAGAGATGTGGAAGACGTTGTGCAAATGCTCTATTTCTGGAGGAAGTGCAACTTGATACGCCACTGGATTGATTTTCTCAATAATCTCATACGGTCCGACATATCTCGGCGCTAACTTGCCTTTGACTCCAAAACGAGTCTGGCCTTTCATCGGTGTCACTTTAACAAACACGTGATCACCCACTTCATACTCTCTGTCTCGTCTTCTGACATTTGCATAACTTTTCTGTCTGCTCTGTGCAGTTTTCAGTCTCTGTTGTATCAGTTTCACTTTCTCAGTCGTTTCATACACAATTTCGGGCCCAAGCAAAGGCCCATCTCCAACTTCTGCCCAGCAAATCGGGGACCTACATTTTCTGCCATACAATGCCTCGAAAGGCGCCATACCAATACTTGAATGATAGCTGTTGTTGTAGGCGAATTCAGCTAAGGGCAAATGGCTTTCCCAGTTTCCCTGAAAATCAAGGACACACATTCTCAGCAAATCCTCTAGAGTTTGGATAGTCCTTTCTGACTGGCCATCTGTTTGAGGATGATAGGCACTAC